AGAAGCTACTTGGTTGATATCTAGGATACTGGCAGCAAACCGTATCAACCATTAGCACCAGTCAATGGTATTTGTGATGCATTTTTGAACGTTCAGTTGGCTGAGTTTCATGTTTAATGAATAAAGTATTTAATAATAATTTTATTAAACTTGTATGCTGCCCAACTCTCAATGAGAAGATAGAATAGCAGCAAAATGGCTGTGTGACCAGACCAAGAACACAGATGCCTACAAATCCCAAGAGCAGAGATGGGATTGAGCCAGTTTGCACCGGTTCATGTGAACCGGTTGTTAAATTACCCTCCCACCCTGCTATCAAAGTGGATCCTGAGTGCTGTGCTGCGGAGAAACGGGCAACGAAGCAGACAGGCAAGGGAAGGAGAATGATGCTTTCCTTCTTTTTTCTTCTTGTTGCTTCTTCCTCCTTTGTGCTGGCCACTCTGTTGTCCATTTCCCCATTGCAGCACAGCGCTCAAGATCCACTTTCATAGTGGGTGGCTCATGTGCCATATGTGTGGTGGAGCTGGAGGACAGGCATGGGCCACGCCTCCCATGACAGCCAACCTGACCCTGGGCGAACCAGTTATTAAATTATTTGAATCCCACCACTGCCCGAGAGAGCACCTGACTCAGCCTCTAGTAGTGCTGCTGGTTGAACCTTAGGTAGAATGGGCTCAGGATCACTGCCTACTTGTCACCTGAATCTTACAGAGAAAAGGTACTCTTCATAGATTAGGTGAAACAGCAAACCTGAGATTCACTTTCTACTTATTCACTTTCTAGTGATCATAGATTGGTATTATGTCCAACCAGTGTCAATACATCACAAAATGTACAAGCTAAAGCCTAATTTTTCTAGATTTTTTTTTCATTCATGGTCTAGTGGTGCTTGGCATGCTGAAATTTTCCTTGGTTCAAGAAAACACTTTTTTGTTCATGCTCATAGTTATAAAGTTAATGCAATCTGTAATCTAAATGTAGCTTACCTGTTTTCTCTTGTAGGTACCAACTGGGTATTTCAAATTCTAACTGAAATGGTAGCTGCAATTTCAAGTAATAAGGAGTTACCACTTCCAAGGCACCTCTTAATGCTTGAATTTGGAGGCCCAGAAAAATTTCTGGTCAGTATGAATTCAGCCTTTGCCTAGAATAATATAAGCGGTTAAATACGCTGGGTAATTTACCCTGCTTCAGCATATGGCAGCACCAGATCTGAGTTTAACTGATTGGGCCCTAGAGTTCTGGATTGTAAAATACATTTGAAAATATATTCTGGTATAAGGTAATACCACACTGTTGTGGGTCAGAAAAAGCTGCATGTATGCATTCATGTAAGTCATCAGGAAGTAAAGTCAGACTTGAAGATTTTATTTTTAGTTTACAATCTACAATACTTACAGCTCTTATATATTATTGCATTGTTTTGATAGCATTAGAAACTTTGATTTTATTAGCCTATTCTAGAGGGGGATCAAAGAAACAGATATTGAGATATTGCAGCAAACTGAACAGGTAATCCTCAATTATGACCACAATTGAGGCCAAAATTCATCAGCAGAATTTTAACATCTTTTGGTTTGATTTCAGAAAATGAAAGAACAACTATCTCCCCGTTATTATATAACTCATCTCCATTACGATAACATTCCAAAATCCTTTCTGGAGAAGAAAGTGAAGGTAAGGAATCAATTTCACTGTAAGTACAATTGTCCAACAGAATTACCTGGTTGCATCTCAGTATGTAGATACTGAATATTATATATTTCTGAAGATCACAGAAAATTCCCTATATCTTCAACATAGTTACAAGCAAAGTTTCTGTTTTGATCTATGAATTAAATCATGGTATATATTATTAATAATAATAATAATAACAACAACAACAACAACAATAACAATAAAATCCTCTGATGATGCCAAATGCAGACTTTGCAAAGAAGCTGATGAAACTTTTGCTTTGCTTTGCTTTTGCCTTTATTTGTGTGCCGCCCTTTTCCCTAAGGGGACTCAGGGCGGCTCACAATTCAAAAGGGAGGAGGAAACAACA